ATCCCAATCGATTCTGTAAGACCTTTGGGCATGATTTTCTAAAACTTTCGGGCATAATTTTGATTCGCGGTGTTATCCTGATCGATTTTTTATTTTTTGACTTGCGATGTTATCCCAGTCGATTCTGTAAGATCTCCTGGCATGATTTCTAAGACCTCTGGACATAATTTCGATTCGCAATGTTATCCTAATTGATTTCTTATTTTTTGACTTATGGTGTTATTCCAATCGATTCTATAAGACCTTCGGACATAATTTCGATTCACGGTGTTATCCCGATCGATTTCTTATTTTTTGACTTGTGGTGTTATACCAGTTGATTCTGTAAGACCTCTAGACATAATTTTTAAGACCTCCAAGCATAATCTTTAAGACTTCCAGACATAATTTTGATTCGTGGTGTTATCCCGATCGATTCATTATTGTTTTACTTGTGGTGTCATTTCGGTCATGTTCTTTATCACTTAACTGTGGTTAAAAAAATTGAAAAAATTCTTGATTTGTTTTCAGACAAAATTGACGTTTTTATCTTTGACTTATTCTTGATTCTCAGTAATGAGCAAAGAGGGACAGTTATAAACATCAGATTTTATTTGGGTCTTTTATAATAATAATAATAATAATAATAATAATAATAATAATAATAAAACTAATAAATATTTTTTAAAAAAATTATTATTAATTATTAAAAAAAAGAGAGAAAAAAATAGAAAAAAAATAGAAAGTAGGGTGGTTGGTGTGCGGTGCCGCTGCCACCCTACAACCTATAGTCCACCTACAGCCTACCCCTACAACCACCACCTATTCCCCTTTTGAACTCTTTAAAAACCCCATAACTTTTTTCCCTTGAGCTCTCTCTCGGACACCCCCTCTCAAAAACCTTCGAACAGATTTTCGAAACCTCCAGACATACTGCCCTCAGTACCCTCTCGTTTCGAGCCCATACACCAAGTCAAACCTTTCCCTTCAACAACCCCAAACAGAACCCACATCAACCCCAAACAAAACCCACACCAACCATAAAAAAAAAAACAAATAGAAAAATAGAAACAAAAAGATAAACACAGTCCTCCCTATAGGGAAGAACCCAGCGCCAAGCTATTTGCAAAAGCAAAAAAACTATATCAGTCTCATTTCAAAAAAAAAAAAGAAGACAAAAAACTTCAAGCCCCGATCTATGACGGTCGGGGTTGTTTTTGACAAAAATGACGTTGGATCTAGAAAGAGGGCGTTGAGGTGAACATTTGAGAGTATTTTTGGCATTTTTCGACAACCAACGACCACCGTCAACTACCGCTGGCGGTAACTTAAGCGGTGGTCGGTGCGATGGTTAGGCGTCGAATTTTGGCCGAAGTCAGAGAGGATTTTTTTGGGCAAGAAATCTTTTTTTTTTTTTGAGAAAAGGGTGAAATGAATTAAAAAAATTGACTTTTATAGAAAATATAAGAGCAAAATGATGCCGTTTCAAGCTTAGAGGGTCCACGCGTAGACCGAACCTGACCCGAGATTTGTGCAAATTGACCCACCAACCCGTCTCAATCACCTTCCAATCGGTTTGGATGAATCGCAGTGAACCGGTCCAACTAAACCGGACTGAACCGCTCCTCAGTCAGCTCAACCGAATCGCACGCCAAACCGAACCCTTTTTGGTGCAATCGAACCGCCGTTGATTGGAACGTTAGGTAAATTTTTTTTTTATTTTTTATATATTATTATTTTTGTTATTTTGAGTATTTTTTATATTTATGCATGATGAATTTTTAAATTTGTTAGGATAAATATTTAATTATTTTAATAATAATAAAAATGAAAACAAGTAAGATAATAATTAAAAATATATTAAAAATGCTTTAAAAAAATAAAAAAAAAATTTTTTTTCTTATTTTTCCTGCCTAGATGTTGGAGGGAATAAAACATATCCCTAAAAATAATTTCGCCTAGATGTTGAAAAATTATTATTAATAAATTTTCATAAAAAAGAAATATATAAGAAATTTTTGGTTAATTTTCAAAAATCGCTAAAATCGAACTTGCTCCGAAAATTCGCTTAGATGTTAAGAATTTTTAGAGATGTTTGTATTTTCTTAAAAATGAAACCTTAAACACTAATTCTTAAATCCAAACCCCTAAAATCCAAAACCTTAAAATCCTAACCTTTAAATCCAAACCCCAAAATCAAAACCCCAAACCTCAAATTTTAAAAATCAAAACCCTAAAAACGAAACTCTAAAATTTTCAAACCCTAAAATTAAACCTTAAAACTTTTAAACCTTCAAATCCAAAACCCTAAAATCAAAACCCTAAAAACGAAACTCTAAATTTCTCAAACCCTAAAATTAAACATTAAACCTCCTAACCTTAAAAATGAAACCCTAAACCTTTCAAACCCTAAAATTAAAACCTTCACCTTCCAAACCCTACAATCAAAACACCAAACCTCTAAGCTCTAAAATCAAAACTCCAAACTTTCAAACCCTAAAATTAAACCATAAATCCTCCAAATCCTAAAACCAAAACTTCAAATCTTAAACCCTAAAATCAAAACCCTAAATCTCAAACCCTAAATAAAAAACCTAAACCCAAAAATCTGAAACTTGAAACCCTAATCCTAAAATCCAAAATCCTAAACCTTAAAATCCAAAATTTTGAAAACCCCATATTTGGTACAAAATCCTGAATCATTGCCTGAAACTCACCAAATCTTTAAAACCTCGACCCATACCCAAGTTTAAAACCATTTCAAAACTTTAAAGATATGTGCGAAAATCTCAAATGGAGTAATTTATTCTTGAATGTCGCCTAGATGATTGGGTTTTTAAAAAACTTTATTCCATTAAGTTTTTCTTGCAAGTCCTTAATGCGCTTTAATAATGAATAAAAAACTTCAATAAATAAAAAGTATAATAGCATAAAATGTGATCTTAAATATGAGCAGTCGCACCAAAGCTCCGCCTATATGTTGGAGAGTCAAGATGGTCTCATTATATTTAAAAATCCAATTTCAAATTTGCATTTCATTATACATAGCACCTATTAGCTTACATGCATTTATTTGTTATTGTTTGCACTCATTTTGCATATTTGTTTGTTACTTGATAGTATCATCCTTTATTTTTTTTGTACAAAATATTTTTTTATTTACTTGTTTTTAAAAATATGCAATTTTAAAACAAAATAAAAATAACATTCCGAAGGAAATAATTCTTAGTACTCTGTCTAGATGTTAGAGAGTCACCAACAATTTTCTATAAAGAGTGTTATTTCA